TATTCTCTGTTGTGTTAGGACACGAATTTAGTTATTTTAAGAATTATATTGTGTTAATGTGCCAGATTTTTATTCTTAAAATAGTTCTTAATTTGTTAGATCGCCCACATCCTTCTTTATGGAGTACTTATTTCTCTTACTGGTTACCCGGCAGAATAATCGTCTCTTAGTGCCAGAAGTCCGCTGTAGCCATCAATGAAACTTGACATTCTTATGGCTGTTTTTACGTCACGTTCAAGTTCGCTAGTAATAATAGAAGGCACCGGTGAGATCTGTCAAAGCATATATAATACATATGGCGTCTGAGCTACCTTGATATGTGGTGTATGTAATCTAGTAAATGTATAAATAATAAAATGACTGTGTATGTAATCTTGTCTGTGGTATTTGCTATTTGCAAAATCACAAGAAGATGGATGGCAGCGTACTTGCGTTAAACAAGGAAGTATGTGACAGTTATGCATTTTGGTAACATCAAATCTAAAGTTTATGATCTAAATAGTTCACATGACTAATATTTAAATAGGTAATTAATTACTTTATTTATCTTAACTAGGCATATGAACTTTCGCTGGATACTGTCGTAAATTTGAGCGACTTGAAGCAGGGTGATGAGTTCATGACGTTGACAATTAAATTCATCCCGCTGAACCCTATCATACGTATCTCTAAATACGAGTAAGTCTTTGTTCATACGATCGCAGTCAATAAGATATCCCCTCATTGGAACGCAAGAATGAACGCCTGTCGATTTTGACTATCTTTTCGGCGGTAGTGCCTTTTGTGCCTTGCCATTTTAAGTAGAGATTTTTCAGTTTCTCGCCAAGTCCGTAGCAATCTGACCCAACGTTCGATGATCTGTTCCGGAGCAATTGATTTAACAGTGAAATGTTACTTTTGTTTATTTGTTTGTTTACTAATGTAAAGCGTTGTGTTCATGTTGACTTTCACCTTTTTTTGTTGACCAACGATCTTTAACGGACGTGTTTGGGCTCTGGCGCTGATGGTTTTCATCCGGCATTCTTTCCGGTTGGTCATGCAGCGAATGATCAGCCAAAATTGATAAGCTGCCCTGTTGATTATCCGCATCATGCCGTGAGTCAACACCACGTCTGCCGTGAGATAGTGACATATCGAGTGTCGAGCAGTTCTTTTATATGTGGTCCATTGCAGTTGGTCGAGTTCATGCAAGGTATGTATGTTCCTAAAGAAGATTATTAATTTTCATTTTCATATTTCAGTTTCGGGTGGATTATGTAGCCAACCAAGAGTTTTTTTGGAGAAGAATAAAATTTAGACGTTTTTCCTGCTCATGTTAGAAGTACCACGTGCTGGAAAAGGAATCTGTATTAAAAACTTGACTAAAGTTCCACGTTCGTTGTCTCTAATGGTTGATTTGCATTTCATTTCAATGCTTATACATAAATGATTTAATTGCATGCAGACGTCCAATTGTTTGAACCACTGGGTACGACGATAGATACTGTACTATAGCAGAAAGATGGATTGATCGATTATTCCATTTCGTCACGAACGGAACGCAAGGAAGGCCTGGCCGGCCTAAATACACTTCGCTAAAGGCATCGCTTTGAAGTGATGACTTTTTCGGTTTAGTTGGATATAATATCGACTTTCTCGTGGGAAATCCAGCTGTTGAGTAAGCCCTGAGTCGACGGGTTCGACTCTTGGTATATCTGTTTTTTTCTGGTGACTCATCATCAGCGCGCTTTGCACTTTTTCATTTCTAAATGGAATTACAGTTAATAAGATTTACTTAGATGAACCCTTTCGTTGCCATCATAACCTAGATATAACCCATGAACGAATAAAAAACGGGTGAGGTGAATCCTTATTAGGCTAACAAAAGTCTTGTAAAAGTAACTGTTTTTGAGATAGATCCGACAGTTGTCAGTTTAACCTCAGTCAGCTATCTGCGGTTCCTAAGAAATGTGTATCTTGTGAGTGGTCGCTTGGAAGGGCACTGTTGGAAACAGTGGAATGGGCAGGTTAAAATAGAACTTTGCCAAGCAACTGCTGTCTCCATTAAGCATTTGGTTAAGATGCGTCGAATCTCGTCAGCTCCGCAATTACAGAGTGGGCGAAGTGTTTTAAGAGGCTCTGGATGAGAACAGTTTGTTTTCTTTGGAAATGACTTGATTTGCAAGTTATCTTGATGATGAAGCGCTTAACATTGTCTTCGCAGGTCTTAAACACCTCAGAACAGTTTACTCAAACCATGTCCCGTTGATACACATTATCATAGCATCGCCATGCGACTTTACTTTATTGCGAAAATCAAGCCGGTAATAAATAAGTCCTACATACTGAGGATGTTATGATCGCCTGAGGGATATAGTTAAGTATCCGTAATTACGCAAGTGTTGTTGAAAAACGGAATTGCAGAAACGCCTGGAGCTAGATCTTTTGCAGACTCGCGAGGCAACTTCGACAGTCGTTAGAAAATACGGAAGTTTGGTGGTTGTTCGTTTTTCAATAGTTTTTTATCTGCTTTTACCACGTTTGGGCTTCCGAACACTTTCAGAGTCTCTACCATAGAACGAGTAATAGGGAAGCAACAAGAATTCCATGAGTAGGTTTGGTGACATATTTAGACAATAATTTCTGATAAAAGCGACTGCTGATTTTTTATAATTAATTTCAACTTGTTTCAGAATGATCATTTTTTGAGCATTAGAAATGCATTCCAATCGAACATATTACAATTGTATGCTAGATATGCGAAAGAAATCGAACTTAGAACATCCAGAGTTTAATGCCAGAGAACATATACAGCCGCATCGTTATTTGCAACAACTTAGATCATTTTATTCAGCCACATGATTAGTCTTTCAGGCCAAGAGGATCTCTATGTTGTTCCGTTTCTAGTTTCTTATTGAGGACTAGCACTCATTGACCAGCGAACTTAAGGGCAGTTCTCGTGGCATTCCGTCGTATCCGCTCACCGACAAACGCAAGCAGACGAACTGGAATAATACATGGCAAGTTATGGAAACTAGTGAAATACTACAGTTATGCAGGAAATGCTAAAAATGACTATTCGACTGACCGACCGACTGCAAAAGACAAAATATTTCGGTGTTTAGGCCAATGCAATCATTTTAAATCAATTGGGGAGAGTGTAGGGGGTTTCCATTCGACCAGTTTAGAAGGAGTGGACTTTCTGTCGTGAATGTGATGTACACACTTATCATGAGTAGAGCGTTACATTCCTGTCTATGTGACGATTGTATACCTCACAGAATACTGTACACAACAGTGACGCGTCTAGTTTCAGGACGGCAAGTGCAAGGTTATCCGGGCCAATCGCTGATGACACTTATATTTCACAAAAGAATTTTGTGGCTTCTTCAAGATTTCAACATTTGTCTTGAGTGAAGTTCACTCATCAGCTTCATCCTAAGAGTGAAAATTTTTCTAATCGTTAAGTGCAACTGCTCAAGACTTCTGGGCTGTCTTTTACCCAACAAATCTTTTCTTTTTTTCCTTTTATGCATCTCGTCTGTTTCATGTCGAATGAAAAATAATCCTAGTTAAAGAAACAAGTTAATACATCGTTTTGTGATCATGCCCACTTCATAGAGGCGACCATCCTTGCAGGTCTTGTGATTCTGGCGTATGAATTACAGTGTTGGTCAGTAAAATACACCGGTACAGACAGGATGCACAATTATCCGCATTTAATCCATGACGTTGTAGCACCGAGAGGTTATCCGACATTCTTTTGGTATTTTTCACAATGTGTTGGCTTCATAATTCAAAGCTTACACGTCAGTGTCGAATGAAACGAATGCTAGTTTCAGTCTGCAAACTGAATTCGTTGCTTTCGTACTTATTAATAGCGCTTCTTTTCGTTCCATAGATGCTTACTGTAGGAAAGGGACAATTAATCGCGTCGTTTAAGGACTACCTAATTGCAGATATGACGTATGGAATAAAATAGAATAGTGTATTGTTAATCTACGGCACCACAAAAAAATTGGCACTGCGTCTTGGCCCTGATTGACAAACCACGGAGAAACATTGTAAGCATTGGGTCCCTAGGCCTCAAAACTTTCATTTTCCATTCACTTATTTACCACGGGTTTTTGATTTTATCACTGCTGATTTAAAATTGACTCCGCGACATTGTTCGTTATGATATAACGATGAAATAATACCAGACAATCAGCTCTGTACGATGTTTGTGACCATAGCGCAGAAATCGATTCCCATAGACTGACTGCAAGGAACCAGTCATCGTGGGCAACGGTTTGAATGCTCGCACGTTTCCTCAATGAGTAATACAGAGGCAGGTATCGCGGAATTTTCACATCTTGTGGTACATCCAGAAATGTGTAGATTTTTTAACCTTGAGATTCTGGGCACCCAGCGAGTGGTACAATTTTTTGTTGTCGGTACGATATGCTACTTAAAATATAATTCAATAAATCAAATTGGTTAATTTACTGTACGAATGCAAATGTACGCCCCTCAAATGTCTCCCTTCCCTTACCACCATACTTAGGTACTATTGCAAATGCATTTTCCCTAGTCGTCAAGTCGGGACAAGTAAGAAAGGGAATGTAATAGTTGCTGCAGAAGTGGATTTATGCATGGCTATATGAATGAAGGAACTTGCAATATCTTCAATGCTGTTTTTGTCTGTTCGTTGAGATCGTTGCATTGTGCTTCCGCATGAGAAACATAATTTTGGTTTCCGTTGTCCGCTGTACAAACAGCTGACATTTTTTCGAAAAAGCGTCAACCAATGAATCGTATGAAGAACGATTCCTTTCCAAAAGCACATCTGCCTCTACATTGTCTATTGTTTTTGCTTGCTGACAATTTGGTCACTTCTGGAATCTTAAGGCCCTTGCATTGAATCTGGCTGGCAAATGACGAATATTCAGTCAGCTTTTCGTAAACTCAATGTCAATTGATATCACCGATTCCAGGAAGAAAACTGAGCCATTCCTCACGTAATTTTGTTCATTAACATGTGGTTCAATCGTTATTTTTTGGACCTTCGTTTGAACTACTCTCTGCATTTCATCAAACAACACCGACCTGACATCATCAAGGTATGGGCGGATTTTGTTGAAAGGTTTACTCCATTCTTATCCCAAATATTTTACAGCCTACCAAAGACAATGGAGGCGACGGCGATCCCCATCTTTAAATCTGATTGAATGGCAGAACTCCTGGAAATGATGGAACAAAGATACTTAACTTGCTCAACCTCTTCAAGCGCATTAACTGCTTGTTCCACTTATAGATCAGTTGCGACGGGTGGGAACCTCAGAACATTTGACTCTCGTGTGTTGAGGAAGAGATCGGCATCAGCTAAGTTACATAAGGAGGCTATCAAAAGACTAAGCTCATCTCGTAGCTACTCAATAGGACAGTGCGTGCGTTCTGGTTCAGTGGCAAATCTATCCAAATATCCTGAACTGCTCTTTCACTCTAAAATGAAATACTCGTCTTTGGCATCGAGCAATGTTGGATGCATAGCTTCAGAGCTGAAGGTTGATAGCAATGTTGAATGACAAAGACGAAGCTGTATATTCCTATGGTTAATCGGGATCCACTTAGATAACTTTTATTCGACTTGCCAGAAAACACTGAACCTGCATACAACTCCGGAAGCAACGTATTCAGGCATCCCTGACATGTTTTAC